CAAGCGCAGATGAACTTTATATTCAAATCTTACCAAGAAATTCATTAACATCAATTTTTCCGTTTTTATCGAAGTTCATTGCAAAAGTGAATTCGTCAATATATGGTAGATTTACATCATCAGTATCATTTTCACCATAAATTAAGAGTTTAATAACATCAGAAAATTCACCACGATTTACAAAACCTGTGACATATTACGTATGATACGAAAGTAATGGGGAAAATGTCGAGCCATATTTCTTTTTGATAGAAGGATGTGGGTGTTGGTTTGGTTTCGAAACGACACACACCGACATCACATATCTACATCCACACCCCTGTTTTGACTTTTCGTTGTGTGACAAAGCGTGTAAGCTTTTAATCAGTCTAAAACATGCGGAAAAGAATGATGCTTTTTTCATCAATCATCGAGCGTCTGCATTTGTGATAACTGTCACATCCTTGCCTTTACCATCACTAGTGTCTATTTGAACCTGACCATCAAATTCGTTTCCATTAGCAAATGATCGATTGCGAGTCTCTGGAAGAAGAGCGACGAATACAATCATAAGTAAAGCCAAAGCGAAACACATATAAAATGTTATTTTGATATATTTGTCATTGACGGCAGCATCGATAATGGGCGCTAGGATAAAGCCACAACTGTTAAAAAACACGAAGACAGCATTAGCCAAACCTCGCATCGATGTTGGGAAAAGTTCTGGATTATAAATCCACGAAACTGACAAAACTCCACTAATTGTCAACTTTCCAATTTATGAAGTGATAATAGTCGCAATAGGATAAGTTTCGCTAATGAATGGAATGATTAGTACACATACCGATGTTAATGATGCGTAAACCATCATGGAATACTTTCTTCTGAATTTTGTATTCATGAGAAAACTAGTCGAGATATAACCGATACTCTCGACACCGGCCTCGATGATAATACTCCAGTGAGGGAGGACTCAAAATGTCATTCATTGCACCGAGTCCATACGAGATTTTGATGTACAGAAGCATCGTTACAAAAGCGATGATACTACTGATACTCAAACGGGGTAATAAATGTAGAATCTTTGTCTTCTTCATTTGTTTTATACTTTTAATGTCAACCGGATGATTGCGTAACAATTGAGTATAATGCGGAAACCATTCTGTGTCTGTACGACCATTGGTTGTAGCGATTTTTCAAAGACGGTGTGGGTGTGGACCTTATTCACTTGCACCCACACCCACATCCTACTATCGATTTCCAGAATAAGATGAGTGACATGAGGTAATGGACATTCAAATTTAAAGTGTGCTCCGATATATTTGATAGTGACATTGAGCGTTCTCAGCTGTAATATTGATAGACAAATGTTTTCAAGTATCTTTAGTAAATAGTTGAAAAGTGTCAGAGAACCAAGACGAAGAAGAATTACAGATATCTCAATTGAAGTACAATAGATACAATCGAGACTGATTTGGCAAATGCAGCGCTCAATGATAATGAACGAAGATCATCGAGTTTGTTTAGATGCATATAAATAGTTTCCCATGATTTCATTTCGATTCAAATGTCGCCAGCAAATTTAGGACGTCTGTTTTGTTATTATAATGCTTTAGTCGATTGTTCGTTCTATACAAGGATGAGTCTCTTCTTTGAAGAGATAATAATGGAAATATCATTGATGTCATTTTGAGAACGCTCGTTACATTCAGAATAGATGAAAGAACCCGGGAAGGCGCTGTAACGAAAAATGAAGGATAGACTGTTTCGTTACTACTGCAATATTTATTTTATTGTTGATTAGCCTTGAGAAACTGGAGGAGTAATATTAATCGCTATCCTCGATGTACGATGTTCACTACAGTACTTCATTACTCCAGTTCTGTCCATTTCATAGAGAACACAGGTTTATATACGAGAGAGGAAACAAAGAGAATAGAGGACAGAGTAAGTGGGCAGCTACTATCGGTCATGAGGTCAGAACGCCTAGCTGCATAGTGACCGAATATTGACCCGTCAATGAAATAATAGAAGATTCATATAAGTCGTGACCTTATTATCGGCACACCCGCGTTTACCATTTTAGCATTAAATAATGAGATTGGTCGAGTATTTTCTATTGATTGAAAGCATACGAAGCGAGAGCTTGGACTTGGATGTCGCTTGCTAAAAATAGATTTTTATTTGACCAATACAAAGCATCATAATTAATGTCTTGTTTGCTATATTGTGAGAGACTCGTACGATAAAATATCGAGACATTTGTTGATTGACTACATGTCTTTATTTCTTTATTGTGAGTTTCATTCACATACTATCAAGTTTACCATGCGCACTGACCAACTATTGCAGGGCACGGTGTCATGGCAAGATCATGTTGATCTTCAGTTTCAATTGTAAAAATGAGAAAAGCGTTTTTCAAAAAATATGCCTCCTCGAGTCTCAAAATTTTTCGACAAATTAGAACTTCATTGTTATTTATTGAAGTAAATGAACAAGGCTCAATTTTTTATCAATACAAAGAACAATAATAAAGCGTCTAGAAAAAAACATTGTCCATCGATAAAGAAGACTACCGACATTTGAGGACACTCTTATTCACGATCGATCGTTTCCGAGAAAGTTTTAGCAAATGGATTACGTGTGATCTTGAGTTCCGTAATCTAAAAATGAACAATAAGAAATAGACGGTGCTGAAGTTAGTCAATAAGAATGTGTAGCTGTTTACCTTCTCATTTTGATAAGCGGTAACGGCAATAAATGAGGCTATAGGAAATGTTTGCGAGTGAACGAGCAGATTTTCTTGACCTAACGATTGATGCTGCACGATTTGAATTCGAGACTCATATTTGTGCATCGGTTTCAGTATAATCTAGAAGAAATAATCAGACATGTTGCTCTAGAAAGGATGTTCAAAAAAAATTATTTTTTGTATCAAAATGATGAATGTTTTCCTTTGTCAATTTTGACATAAGAAGTAGTATCCTCGGAGCTATTTTCCGAAGATTTTTACAAAAATTTTTCATGAATGTAGAAGAGATCATGTTCAAGTTATTTACATAGATCCAACGTTCACTCATTATTACTGACCTGATCACGTGTCAAATCTTGCGTGCGATTTGTCAATTTGATACAAGCAAATGAAACAGGAGTAGCCATCCAAAAGCTTCCAAAATTGGGTGAAGCTCTATGGAGATACACTTGATGTTGTTGCACGCATCCACAGTTACACCTATCGGTGTCTGGTGAGACGTTGTGTGTCTTTTCCCATTTGCTATTAATCCATGCATAACGGCCACGTTCGATAAAATCAACATAGATATCGTATTTCGATGATGGATGAAGATTTTCGATCAACACCTTGAAATATGGGAATAGACGTCGTCCTAATCGAGTTATTCTAGAGACATTCATGAGAAATTACTATACGCACTTCGAATCAATCGAATTTCGGTTTAAAATATTTGTGTAAAGTTCAAAAATTTTCTATGCAAAATATTCCATTTTCCTTATTCTCTAATTTAAAAGAGTAGACAATGAAGAACATTTTAGACTAGTCAGAAAAATAGTTATCAGCCAGCATTTTTCAGAAAATTGGTTTATAATGAGATTCTCAGCTAGAATTTCCAAATACTTCATATATGTAAAAATCTCTGGCTTGTTCTAGTGAATTTTGTTTAATAAGAAGAAAATTTTTCTTATTCCAGAGATAAAACGCGAAAAATTTCGTAACGATTCCTTGTAGTGTATGTTTCCAGACAATAACTCCTTAAAACTGATACACGTGTAAAACATTTGTCTGACTCGTCAAAGCGACAACTTACATATTTTCATGAGTGTATTTGTTGAATTCAGCCCAAAGTTCTTCATTTTCCAATTGAACATGAACAGGAGGATGATGACCTTCATTATAAGAAGAATGAAAAATATTTATGGAAAAATAAATGTGTCCAACTCACCTGCATGCATATCGATGAATTGAATGTAGGTACGAAGCAGTTGAAGTGTTGAGAGAGGAAAAAAAGTGAAATGTGATTGATGCCCGCTGTGTTGCACGTTCTTTTTATAGTCACGCAAACAAGTTTGACCGGCAGCGGACACCGTCAGACGGCAAATGAAAGATGACCTCTTTTAACGTTGTTCTCCTAGTCTATTTATTTTTCCTTCAAATCGTAAAAGCTGTTCAGAGTGTTACGATAGATTGACCTTTTATTCTTTGTATTCAGAAAATAATTTGCCAACGAACGTGTTATTGCTCTAGGGAATATGCCTCTCTCTCTTCTAGATTTCGAAAGCAAGGTTTTCAAGTAATGTGCTCAATTGAGCATGAATGTATTTGGAAAAAGTGAAATAAACTAATAGATCTCGTAGAAAAAATCTAGATGTTCGTTTCAGAACAAAAGAATATCGAGCAGAGTTCATGTCTTCACATAATTTTTTAATGCAATGGTCAATCGATACAATTCACATTTCGACGACTCTATTTCTGTTCGATAAATTCCAACTTCATAATACCATCTTGATTTTGTGAGATAAAGGAACACATCAAAACTGTTCCAATTGAAAAGTTCTAATAAAGACAATCCAAGCTATTGAGTGATTCATAATTGAATCCGAGTTAGGGTGTGGATGTGGCTGAATAGGGTCCACACTCACACCCGCAAATGGAGGTGTGTGGATGAAAGATACATTCAAATCCATACCCTTTCATTTGTATTTTTCTAATTCAATATTCGAAGATAAATATTTGAATATAAAAACACATGGATGCATTGTCTGCCTGTAAGTAGAAGGAGAGTATAGATCTGACGTCTCAGCGAAAGAGTTCGCTGATGAAACAAAATCCCACTCACACTCTCTTTGTTAATATTAAAATAAAATTTTTTTTTCAAAATTATAATACAAAAATATTTATTACATTTTCCTAGTTCAGTATGTTTTATAGTTTATTAACGAATCCATAATCGAATACAACGAACTGGATAATAGTCTCTAGTTATTGTCGATGATGATGGTAGATATTATTGTAACCATTTGATAAGTTCGTCATCAATCGATGTTGTATTGCTATCCGATTTATCGTCTTGACATCGAACATTAAGCGCTCGAAGATTGCTTATTGTATGAACAAGTTCAAATATACATTCTCGATTGGTGACATCAATTAATAGTACATTACATTGAATATCTAAAAATAATTGACTTAAGACAACACATTCTTCATGATCGTACCATTTATACCACTGTAAATCTAATTGTGAGAGTGAAAGATTTATTTTTCGAATTGGTAAAATTTTTGAAATCTTTGATGACCAATTACGAAGACGTAATAAAGATATACGAGGTGCTCGATCAAGTAGAATCTGTAATTGAATATCATAATTTTCATTCTCATCATTCAATAATACATCAAGTAATGTTAATCGTTCAAGTTTTGAAATGATTGACCAAAAATATTCATCAATAGGAAGATGTACACAAAGTTCTCGTATTTTATTAAATTGTATATGAGATAGAGTCAACCATTCGGATAAATTAGTCTTATAAGTAAGTCGATGCACATAATCATATGACCATTGTTGATTATCATAATAATAAGTTGATTTTGATAGAATAGGAGATTGAAAATAAAAATTATCAAAAGCATATGGTAAACTATGAAGAAAAATATTATTAGTATGTGGATTCCAATTACATTGAACAAATAATTGATATTTGTTCAGTCAGAATGAAGTACGAAATAAGTTCAATATTTCATTGATTTCCTGTTCTTTATCATTATCATCATTATCAAATTCTGTGTTCATTCGAAAATGGAACTGTTTAAGTTTAGATACGTATATTTGAATGATTTGTTCCCATGTTTTTCCATCGATATACATATCAGGTGGATCGACTTTTAATTGACATAAATTAGGTGTATATTTGAAAAAATTCACTAAAATATGATAGTCTATCGAGAAAAATGATATATCTAAGATATTTATTGAAGATATGGTGTAGTTTGTAATAGACGAGTCATTTCATTAAATTGTGGTTCAATATCACTAATAGATAGATGTTCAATAGTTGATGAAATTATGGTTGATATAGGAAAATAAATATGAGATTTAAATTGTATTTTCATATAGCTATGTGTAAGTTTAGGTAAACTCCATATGATATTCATAAAAGTAAGAGCTTCTGCTTCATCATATGCAAAATAACATTCATCAAAAGTCAAATGTGTAATATTAGATAAATGAGATAAATCTAATAGTATTTTGTTCATTGTGTCATCAGAATGAAGATGATATATTAATAATGATTGTAAAGACGTGAAGCGATGTAAAGTAAAATCATAAGAATAAAATTGATAAATTTGTCCAGGAGTATCATCTTTTTCTAAGAGATAAAGTGAATGTATTTGATTGGCAACTATCGAAAGATGTCGACATATTGTAAGAAAATCACGTTTTAATATTGATCGAAAATCAAGACCATGAGTACGAAAATGAATAAGAAGAAGAGAATCAATGCGAGAATTGAGATCATGAAATGCATTAAGAAGATGAACAGAAGATAAAAATTCGAATAGATCGATAAGTAACTCGTTTGCCAATGTTTCAAGATTCATAGTTTATATCTTTTGCTTGCACATTCACAAATGTTACATACGTTGTGTTCAATCCCACGAGAAAAAAAAAACAAGAACGTTCAACCCTTTTTTTTTCTTCTTTCTGCAAATCTGCTTGTTGTGTGAAAGAACGTCGATTCTTATTTTTCAGGCGCTTTCAGTCTGATAGCGAGATTGACGAATGACAAAGAAAAACTTTCTTGTTCTTCTTTTTTCTGTGTTGTATAGTTTCAGAATGTCATTCGTCTACATCTATACTAAATATTTTTCCACTGACGTGAAGTCTTGCAGAGAAAAACAATGATTTCACAAAATGAAGACAGATATATTTGGAGAAAACATGCGAACAGAAAATTTATTCTTTCAGATCGGGTCAAAAATGAGCTAATTTCAATAAACTTTGTATTTGAAGATTCTACAAATAAATTTATTTTTATCAAACTATTAAGAAAAAGTATTACGAAATCAAAATATTTATGATCGTTTGTATGAAAATATCAAAACACTTGTCACCTAATTGGTCTATTATTTAGTCTTAACTGTCATCATTTACTAATCCTATTTTTATCTCATATGATCTCTAAGGTTTTCGTAGTATTTGTCGAATAATAATTTCAATAATATCTCATCGATCATATCATAGAAACTACATCTATTTAGGAGTATGCTTAACGTACTGTTGATAAGTTGAATAAACCTGAATTTAATTTTATATTAAAATATGTAGTTGATCTCTCATGTACATTCACACACAGAAATGCGATTTCTTCTACGAGATGATACACAAGTTAGAATCAGTTTCAAAAAAAAAAAGTCTGATAGCTTTTTGTTGAATAATAAATTTCAAATTGTCTACCATTCGAAATTTGAGTCCGCTGCGACATATTTTTTTTTCGGTGAAATTAGATTTTAATATCAATCAAATTCGTATGATTTAGAATTTTGTCAGTTGTTGAACGGAATAACATCGCTGTAGGTTGTAAACATGGATTTTCTCTTGGTGTATATCAGCTATTCCACTTACTCTTGCCCCGCATCTCAACATCCTTTTTTTGTTATAGTTTGTTCAAAAAAATGTGAATCTTCTATTATTCAACAGATACATTTAATCAATAGAAATTTTATTATATATTTGATGGGGAAAAGAATGATATTAGTATGATTTATCAGTGAGACGGCATAATTGCAAATAAATGAATAAAGATTATTCATCAGTTCATGATCTGGAAGAAAGACAACCACAGGAGGGTGTGGGTGTTGAACAAATTGAATACTCACCCACACCCACACCCCATTAGTCAAAATCGTCTGAAGGGCCCTTTAGCAAGGACAAAATCATGATTACGACAGCTAGACTCACTCTCACCCTTTTTTGTTCTTTTTCTATAAATTCATTAAGCTAGATATGTTATCGAGGTTAGTAACTTTTTTTATCGTGCTCTAACCGCTATCTATCCAGTATGGCGTCTCTAAAAGAAAATAAATATACACACCTTGTTTTTGCTTCTTCTTTTCTGCATGAAATTATTGTGTTATCGCACATGTTCTCTCACTGGCGTGTATTTACTGAGTGTTTATTGCTCCCTTTTTTCTATTTCACTGCAGTGCGCACAGCGAACATGTCTTGGTAATTGAAGACAGTCAAGAAAACAATGATTTATACTCTACACAGAAGAAAATATTTTTTGGTTGATGTATTAAAGACTCTCAGTAACACTAAATGAATTGTAATAGAATCGCACTTTAATTACGACAGACAGCAGATCGAATGACGATGAATTATGTGTTGTGCTAATACTTGAGTGTAATCATCGTTGTTTTTTTTTGCCTCACTTTCTATTAACATTGATAGAACTATGGCTTTATACTCAGTCGAAATTGGTTTCCGAACATGTTGCTACTCTGAGTTTGTATACGGCAAAGGCTATTCCAGTTCTTGAGAGTTTATCTTCGAATTTTCGACCTTTGCGATCACTCATTCTCATTTGATCCTCTTTTTACCATCAAAATATTGAGTCGAAGCGTTAATTGTCTCGTCTTCAATTAGATTATCAGATACATATATAGCTATGATTACTATATTCTCATTTGTTTTAAAACAGTCTTACTTTTACTATGATGAAATGATCTGACATTTGACTTCTCGATCATTGGTGCGATGATGATAAAGATCAATTGATTGCATAAAAAGAATCATCCCACCATGCACTTATTTATGCTCATCTATCACTCTGGATATCACATAGAAATCCAGATGGAACAAAATAAATAATATTTTGATTGATACACTAGAAATTACATTGTTGGTATGATTGATGTTCTTTTCGATTTTCACATAATGTTGGTTCATCTGTAGCACTAAGACAATCAATGTTACCGTCATTTACTTTCATAATATCGAGACATATAAATTTGTTCGTATAAGGTGATACACAAATATGATAATCTGAAGAACAATTTAATGATGAAATTAAATTACAACCAATTTTATCAGCACCATCAAGACAATTCCATATACCATTACATCGAGTATATATATTATTACATTGTCATTGTTCATATTCTGTTTCATCTGTATAATTTTGTCCATCAAGAATTATTGGTGCTAATTCATTGAATCCATCACATATTGTTTGAAATGATATATGTTTTCTTATATATCGAAGTTTAGTTTTTAATTCATCAGGATGTTCATGATAGATATCTGTATGTTCTACTGCTGAATTAATATCACCAACATAAAGAATATTTTCATCATCTCTATGAGGACAATCATTTGAACTACTCATGAGATAATTTATAGGAACACATCTGAATGAATTAATACATTGATACATATTTGATTTGTTACATTTTATAGACATATAATTAAAAGTATGATTATATTCCCAAAGGTCACGATAGTAAGGTAATAAATAATTTTCGTCCCAACTACTTGCGCCAGACCACCATATAGGAATTGTATTATTACGATAATAACATGTTGTATTATTGAAAAATATTTTCGAAGCATTGACAAAATAATCATCATAACGAGAATTATTATAACATATATAAGGATAACCAAAATTCGAAATGTGTGAAGATTATGAATGATTTTTTTTATAAGCAAAATAAATATCACCAAATAAAACTGGAATAGATGGAATAAACATCATATCTGGACATTCACGTTCAATAATTTCACGACATCCACTAAAAACACTATAATTAATACAAATTGAATAATCCAAAAGATCCCAATAAATGTCACATATGAATGCAAACCAACAATCATTGGATATAGAATTATCTTTGATAGAAAACATTGCTTGCATTAGTAAATATTTACGTTGTTCCCATGTAAAACTGAAACGCAACCTAGACGCGTCTAAACGCGTTTGTGGGTGCGTTTCAACGCGTCTATCGTCAAAATCAGTAATGAGCCGCATCCAAACGCATCACATAGATGCGTTGGAACGCATTTGTAATAAGAATTGCGTTCAGACGCGTCTCAAACACGAACGTGATTTGCTTTCTGTATCTCTTGACACGCGTTTTTCTGCGTTTGGACTAGATAACGCGTTCAAACGCAATGTGAACGCGGTTTGTTATTATATCGATTTAAACGCGTTTTTGCGCGTTTGAGCTAATAGCTGCGTTCACACGCGTCTCACATGAGAAAGCGGTTTGCTTCCTGTACTACCTGAAACACGTTTTTTTTGTCCGTTCGAAACCATATTTGCATTCCAATACGTCACATACGCGATCAATTTGATTAAAACTTGTCTAATCGCATGTTCATATGGCATACTTATGAGCAATTGACCGTCGCAATTCGTAAATTCTAGTTAAAAAATGTTTGCATTGTGCAAAAATAATTATTATTATAACGAAATAGTAACTTCTCTGTCGGCAGTAATTTGAAGATTATATATTGTTAAGAAAATCTTTGCTAGCTAAATTTGCTTAATAAGAAAATTATTTATGTTGGATGAGTACGATGAGATTCGGCAAAATACGTAGCTACAAATTTAAGAAAAAAATATGCTTCGAGAGGAGGAACATAATCATAAGATATAATTAAATAAAAATTTACACGCATGTTTATAGTTATTTGACTTGTAGAAATGAATCGATTTTGATCTTGATCTTGATCTTTAGTGGATAAATCTATACAAAAAAAATTGTAGCTATCTTACAGATCCAAATCAAGATATATTTAATTCTTAAAGATGAATATTTTGTTGTTTTCCTACGGAAATTGTTATATGTCTTCGAATATTTTTCTTCTATATAACATATTGTCATCGAAAGAATCTTTTGATATAATATTATTTGAATCATCTCCATTACTTGTTTCTTTTACTAAACAAGAAAATAACCCATTAGGTTTATTCAAACAAAGATAATTTTCTTTAAAGTTCTCAAATCATAAATATTTCCATTTAATATGTTCCTTTTGTTTAACAACATTAGTTGTTTGTTTTATGTTCGAAGCAACAGAAATATTTCGATTTAAACCATTATTTATACGATTACGATCATAAAATGAAAAATGATGTTTTGGATGATTTTTCTAAAAATTAAGAAGACAACTGCTCTTTATCCAATACATGTGATATGATTTTTAGAGTTATTTCGTTACATTATCTAAATTTAATCAACGACCTAAATATTCAGTTGTATTTATCCCGTTAGATGAAAAAATAACTAGAGCAATTACTTATTATTTGTTCATTAGTTTTCATTAGACTGTTATCTTTTAAATGCGTGGATTGATGATATGAAAGCATGTGATATTTTATAACGATAAAAACCAGTAATGAAAGCATTTACTAAGCAATAAAAAACAAATTTTTTTAATTGAAAAGTCTCGATTTAAAAGGTTTAGAATATGAGAGAAGTTTCCAGATGTATCAGAAAATATCTTTATTTGCACATTTGGCAACCAAAGATATTTTCATTTTTTATTTATTGTTTAAATAAAGAATAAATATGAATAAAATCTTTTTTTTTGCAAAGTAAATCTATAAAAAAATCTTTCTAACGGAATTATTAAATAAAATAACTGTTTATTTATATTTACCAATAAAAATTGATGATTTGTTTATTTTTCATGATCATGATAAACAAATAACAAAATCGTTTTCTTTTGTTTCTAAAAATCTGACATTCATCTTGACTATTGATACATAGGAAAATATTCTAATATTTAAATCATACAAATATTTTTGTCTACATTAACATCAATTTGCTTTTGTACTTTTATGAATATTGATTTATTATTGAGGAGAAGAAACGAATACCAATCAATAATCGAGTTACCATAATATATGTGTTCATTTAATTATTTACAATAAAACTAATTCGCTTTATTACTTGTTTTTTAATTATTATTCAGATGCAGAACGTATTTATGATTTAATTTGATTTATGGAAATAAAGAGTTTGCTGCCTTTTTTCTGTATAAATAGGTATTTGAGTTATTTTTGATCTCATGATGAACAAAATATAAAACAGCATCTGTTTTATTGTAACTATATGTATCGTTTTTGAGTTCAATTGAAATTTCAAATTTTCATGAAACTTTCTTTTGTGAAAAGTTATTAAAACTACCAGATATTCATTATTAAATTTGAATTAAAATACGATAAAAAAAGAGAAAGATATTTTTTTGTTGAAAGTAGATTTTTTTCAATTATAATAAAAAGTTTTGATCTCGAATGTTCATATATCCTTAATATTGATAAAAAAATCCACCTTTTTTCGAGATAATTATATTATGATCCGTTTATTTGAAGCTGTTTGTTAAAGAAAAAAATTAATTATGTACAAAAATATACCTGAATTTCGATAGAATACAATTTTTTATATTTGATTGAATATTAATTGACTCTTAACATTTGAAAATAACTTCTTTAAAATCTACAACACGATTGTATGACATTTCGACACTTATTATCGAATTGGAAACGAATTTCAAAAAGGCGTCTATATATGAACGATAGTTCATCGAGCAGATATAGCTCAAGTGTAAGTCACTTGCTTTCTATTCACATGTTTTTCTGTTCTAGCCTCGTTCATCGCACATATTAAATTCGTTACGTAAGTCATATCACTTGTTCTGTACTATGCCTCTAGGATAGAGCCGACCATCACATGGTTCTGATGGTGACGTAGTTCAAATCTACGAGTACAAGATGATATTTTTTTTCTGTAAATATTCAAACGCGTTTGGACGCGTTTAGTTTTTGAAACGCGTTAGATGCGTCAAATGTTTCACAGATCTACTTGGATGCATTTGAACGCGTTTGTACTCGAACGCATCAAAACGCGTCCAGGAGACGCATCCATGGAACGCATCTAAACGCGTCAGATGTTTCATTTTGGCCGCGTTCAGATGCGTTTGTTTCTATGTGTTCCAAACGCGCTTTAGATGCGTTTAGAAACGCGTTTAAAGTAAAAAAATTTTCACATGGGTTGACGAGAAGAACTTGTTATAGGAGTATTGTCACATCTTATATC